CGTCGGGGACTTGTGGAGGGAAATGCGCGCCGTTACCATCGTTGGCGATCCGCAAATTCGCAGTGAAAATTGAAACTCCACTTTTGAAGAGGCCGCTCGAACTTGAATCCCGTCCCGGTCGTCGTGCCGGTGTCGTGTCGGTTCTCATGTCGGTTCTCATGTCGGTTCTCATGTGCGACTCACGTCAGCTTCTCCTTTCGCGTCCGCGTCTGGATATTCCGCTTTCCAGCGTGCGATTTCGTTTGAGTTCCGCGACCCGAGTCAGATGATAATTCACGGAAGGGAAAGGGCAATTTGAGTGTTTCTTTTCTACGCGAACGAGAGGTGTTTCCTTTCTCCGCGATCCAGCCGCGAATCCTCTGGTAAAAGCGTCTGCGATGTAGAATCGGATCCCAGACGGAAAGATTTTCGGGCGAATCGAAATTAACCCCTTGCGGTCCATTCGATTAGCAACGGCCTGGAGATCGTCGGGCATAACCCGACGGCCGACCGCAAAAAGGGGGCGATCGACCGAGTAAGGAAATGCTCAGAGAAGCAAGTTAACGACACATGCCTGGATAGGTATGAGTCAGCAAATGAGCCACTGTCGGTCGCAGATAAGAGAGCCGCCTGCAATGCCATCTTGGACCTGGTGCATAGGAAAACCAGAGGAATATTATTCCTTGACGCACCAGGTGGAACAGGAAAGACGTTTCTCATCAACTTCCTCTTTGCCAAAATCCGACAACAAAAAAATTGCAATTGCAGTGCCCCATTCTGGAATCGCTGCCACATTGCTTTACGGTGGTCGTACCGCTCACTCGACCCTGAAGCTGCCTCCTAACCTTGCAAATTCTGAAAGCCCTTTTTCCAACATTAGCAAAGGAACAGGGAATCGCAAACACGCCCTGGAGGCACTCGATCGAACCCTGCAAGGGGCAACCAGACGTTTGTGGGTGGGGATGCACTCATACCGCGAATATCCGTCGTGCTCACCGGCAGGCCCTTCGAATTCAGGCGACCGCGGTTTCCAGGGCGTCTGGCCTTTGCGATGTCCATCGATTAAGTTCGAGGGCAGCCGCTTAAGGTTGCAGGTGTCGATCAGGAGACTCCTTGCTTTTCTCGCGGCCAACTTAATGTAGCTCGTTCAAGAGTTGCAACTGGAAAGAATTTGTATGTCTTTGCCCCAAATGGGAAAGCCAAAAACATTGCATATCAAATAGCTTTGCAATAAAAAAAATAGCAATAAATAATATGAAATCAAAGGCTTTACCATAAAAATTTTAATGCAAACAATGTCTCTCAAATTAAAGAAACCTACGAAACGAAAAATTAAGAAATGAAAAAATTTAAGTGTCAAAACCCCCCAACATATAAAGTTATAAAAGGGAAAGGTGTCAGCGCATTTTGCAACACCCAAGATCGGTAACTCATAGGAAACCATAAGGCTAACGTTCCCCAATTTGTCATGCATATTGAATTTCCCTTTCTTAAGCTGGTACTTAAGCGGGTACTTAAGCTGGTACATGCATGTTTCTCGGAAGGAGAGCAATCGATGAAGGCATGCGTGATGCGCGGTGCCCGTTTAGGGTGTCGGTGTCCTTCGATCGATGACCGATGACTCAACGGATCAATTAATCGATGTTGACCTACCCGAATGGACGGCCATGAACGCTTTGAAGGCGATTCCTGCAGGCAGAGTTGGAAGGTAAGTTGGTCCGCGTCGGTTCTCCGTTCGCTCCACCGTCGCAGGACGCGATATCTCGGCGACGTCGAAAACTGTGGAGTCGGGGAGCCTCCTTCTACGCGAACGCGATCGAGGAGTGGATGTCTGAGGTTCCCCGCCGCGTGTGGATGCACTGCGCCAGGCCGGCCGTCGAGAAGGGTCTCGACGATCCTCATCATCGAGAAGGGTCTCGACGATCCTCATCATCGAGAAGGGTCTCGACGATCCTCATCATCGAGAAGGGTCTCGACGATCCTCATCATCGAGAAGGGTCTNAGAGTAAATGACCACATGATCGCTTGTTTTCCCTCTGGTCTCCCTCACCTAGGAAATGTATAGAAAATCCCATCTTGTTTATTATGTTTAATTCAATGGCAAATAAAGAATAATTTGAAGGGGAAATGTAACGTTCGGGTCTGTGAAGGCCGTCCTAACAGGTGTTCTTTTAGGTCTGCGAAACAATATGAAAATATCAGCATTTACTACAGAAATTGGTTATTTTTCACAATAATATGCATCGAGTTCATGCCATGGACACCCACATCAGGCTTACCTCAGGGTGAGGTGAATGTTTTCCAACTCTACGCTCATTTTACTCGTAAAAAGTGGCGTCTTTCCACTTACTTCACCGAGCAAGCCAAGTAAAAAGGTGCTCGATGGGAAAGAAAAAGTTGTGGACAAAACTCGACCCCTGCTTCTCGTGTCGGAACCACGTCCCCTGTACATGAAAAAAAATTGTCAAGAACAGACACTCTGGCCCAGTCCTTTGACGTCTTCGGCACCTTTCATTGACCTCGCAGGGCGATCATGATCACCGGTCATCCGGCCTGATCACGGCGATCAGGACCACCACGAACCGACTGATGAAATGGATACGAGCTCGCGGCCCCTACGAGACCCTGGGCCTGGGGAAGGGCGCCTGCCTGGACGAAGTGGAGGAGGCTCACAGGAGGCTCAGAGCCATACATCATCCCGATAATTCCGCCAACACGTTCGAGTCCATCGAGAAATTCATCGAGATTTATTCTGCATTCATGAAACTGTAAGGACGAGAGCATGAAATGTGCGTGACACATCATTCAAATTTTCGTGGAATGTGCAATTCGCACTCCCCTTCCGAAATATTCACCCTTTCGGCGGTGCATTTAATCGAGGCGGTAAAGAAAAATCCCGTCCATCTATCTGTTACATCCCGAATTTCTCCTTCCCGGCACTCGCAACGTTTCCGAGCAACTCCGACCCGAACCAGTGCCTGTCCACCGGAGACTATTTTACGTTCCAGCTGTCATGAAATTCATGTGTGACTTCATGTTCTCATCAGAAAAAAATGAAATATAATAAAATGATGACGGCTGCACTATCACACGCAGTTATTGTAGGAATGCAGGACCTAGTACATATCTGGATGTTTTCAATGAAAGGATTCGAGAGAAGTAGTGTCAGTTCGAAAGTTAATGGTACTCATCTAAAGCTCTGAGTGTTCCCCTCCATATTTTCTCATCGTCTGCCATAGATTTACCTCATTCACAGCCTAAGGATTCTACACTTTCCTTTCCAAGAAGCAAAAAGTTTAACTCATGGAACATTTAACTGAGTCATGATATTCTTCTTGCACTTATACTCAAACCTAAACCTATGTGAAGTATTCCGAAAATATTTTCTATCCGGATCTGATTTGGATGATTTGTGGATTACCTTCATAGTAACCAGAGTAGAACGATCTCCGAAAATTATCCCAGGCAGCACACCTACGTTGGGCCAACGTTGGGCCCATATTGGAATTCGACATTTCGGATGTGGGCCCAACGTTGGTCCCTCGTAGGCTTGTCCCGCGGCCCCACGTTGGGCCAACGTCAAATGCCCACGTGCGCCATGAAGAGCTTGCCACCGAGTCTCTCTCGGTATGGCTGGAAGTACTCCAGGGAATAGTACTTCTTCCGATTGTCATCTTTTGAGGCCTTCACTTTCCATGAGAGGATTTGAGCCCCATTAGGTCCTTCGTCCACTATGGAAGTGCTTGTCCGGCAAAACTCGGATGATCATATCTTTAATCACACCCGAACTTCCCCGAGGGGAATCAGATGCAACCTCCACAATCTAAGAAAGAAAAAACTGTTTTATCCTATTTGAATCCCCTATTGAATTTGAAGCCAAAATTTGAATCATGCTTCCTCTACGATTAATAAGAGTCTGTTTTGACTGCTTAATCTGTTTAAACAAATGAACAGAGGAATTTGAAGGTCTTCCTTCACATTCTTTATGGAAATGGATCAAGTACCGCAAGAAAGGTACTGGGGTCTTAAAAATTAACGAATCACTCCTCGATACCGCCGAAATAGCGACCGAATAGTCGCCATCTCGCTTATGCTGTGGGAAAACTTTTTGTGCAACTGAGATGGACGTCGCATCCTGAGTCATGACAAATGTTGGCTGCCGCCCATGCGCCAATGTGGGGCCAACACGGGATGCCCACTGCGATGTTGGGCCACTTTCCCCCACTCGAAGCCAATATGGGGCCACCATTGTGCGCTGCCAGGGAAGTACTACCTTAACCACAAGTCCTCTTAAAAATAAAAGGCCCTTTTCATCACCTTAAAATATGAGATTAATTAATTTCATATCGGTCATTCCATTGTTGTGATATATTTGCAACGTTCATTGATAATTCCACATCCATGTCATTTTATACTCACTGTCCTGAAGTCTCCCAGTTTTTTTTGCAGAATCTCAGGGGCAGATGCCATGAGAAGAATCTCAGCATATATGAGACTCATTACCATTCTCATGAGAATCTTTTGTGAACATGATAGCAACACAAGCATTCCCACGAGTCTCATTAGGCTCAGAGACACCTGGAACGAAATTCCCATGCGATTCTCACGAGATTTATTCCCGTGAATTCGACTGATAGATTTTTGCTGCGGAATACTCCGTGCATTTCATTTCCATCGATTCCGGCCTTTCAGCTCGGAGAAGCTGCGGAAAGCAGACGCCGCCGAGAAGAAGAAACTCGGCAGGGCATCGGACGCCGCTTTCTGCAGATACGACGCCCAGATGAGCAGACTCATCGAAGCCGATCTCGTCGCCGATCTCATCGACGAACAGGACTTGATTGCCGGAGACGAGAAATACCGAATGGAAGCGATGGGAGCATTCTCGAAGACGAAGTCACGGTGGCCCCAACTTCTGCAGAAATTCAAGGACGAGTTAGAAAAAGTGGGGACATATTATCCTTCACAGTACTTTATATTAATACTTTACAAGTATTGAATGGTTTTTTTTATTTTCCTCCAAAACCCGGCAGCGCCTGCAGACCAGGTACGAGGACCTGCTGAAAGAGAGAGATGCAAGAAAAACTGCTGCAGAAATGAATGGAGTAGACCCCAGTGGGGACGGAGACGACGACTACAGGTAGGGACTAGGACCTTCAAAAAATTACCTAATTACCTCCCAAAAAACCCACACCTGTAACCTTGTATATAAGCCAAGTGGTGGGAAGATATTCAAGAAGTCCTTTCTTGCGACTTGATTTCTCAATAAGCTTTGGAAGTGGTAACTTGCCCAACCTGTCACTTTAAAGGAAACATGTCTTAGACCAACGTAATATAGCACCTCCATGAGAGTTTCCGATCCCAACGGAAGACAGCTCACATGCCCTTTAATTGTCTTCTATCTACATGGTTGAGTATTCCAGATTATATTGTTGGTTGATTGGCTGTCATATCTAAAGTTCATCTCTAATCACCCATTTAATAATTCATGCCAAAATCTAGCCAAATGTCACTTCTTCAGACCAGAATGCTTGCTCTATTGAAGTCTATTTTGATATATTAGTCGGAAATGCCATGTGTTCCATTACTGTGTGAGTGAAATGTTATTCTCTCACAATAAGAATGGGTGAAGGCGGAGGATCGGGGGGAGAGGTGGAATGTCCCCATACTCCACCAATGGCTCCATTCCCTGGGAATTCATCACCAATGGCTCCATTCCCTGGGAATTCATCACCAATGGCTCCATTCCCTGGGAATTCATCACCAATATCAGGTGCTCCTAGCCCTACCCCTCCCGATTCGCCTGACAGCGTGTGTCCAGTTTTTCTTGGCCGTGTACATGACAAAAGTATGGCAAATACTCGCCTCTATGCATTCGGCTATTCTTGCATCTCGGGATGGTATAAGGTGAGTGACTATTCAGAATGTGATTATGTTCAATGTTATTATTAATATGATGAAGATGAAGTCTCTTTATGTTATTGCTGAACCAGTTTATCAAGTCTTCTTATAGCCATCAATATACAGTAGTATGATGTTGTAGTGCTTTATTAGATGGAGCTTTCCACTAAAAGGCAAAGTTAGATGGGATTGTAACCTACATAAATAACGACCAGCAGATGTCTGTTTGACTGGATTTTGTCCGATGAACTCCTCCCAGGTTTCTCAACCAATTTTCATCAGCCATAGCTCATTGGATTCAGTTTTCTAGGTAAATGTAGAATCTCATTCTAGATTGTCTTTCTGAGTTGACCTTGATCTGACCTCGATGACCTTTCATATTAATTTTGGACCCAAATTCCAGTGCGATATGTCATTCGAAAGCCGTCGACCTCCTCAGTTTGGATTCATTTTTATATTGCAAACAAATTTGCTATTTGATCCTGCTGTGGTCAATCTGAGTCGAGAGTGCACTGGTGCCCTCTCTGTACAGTCTAGATAACTGCTTCGAGACTACCGTACAGGACCAGTTTTCTTCACTTGACTTCGCATCGAAGCTCACATTTCTTCTTAGTTGTACTGAGAAGTGGTCGTCGTTCTCATCACCCGCGGGACTATTATCGTATCGACAATCGGCATTAGCAGACGTTTTATTTCAAGTTTTAGCTGACATTTCCCTATGGAACAGATAAGAGAGAAAGGAAAAAAGGATCCTATTACAACATGTTAAACCAGGCCAGGCCTTCCTTAACTGGATCAGAACGCGAGTTTAGTATTTCAATAACGCAATTCTTTCTGTCCAGTAAAGGAGTCACCACGTTTTCCTCTTATGGAAGAAAAATATTTCCCGCTCCCAAAATGTTTATATTATTATTTTCTTAAAAATATGCAGGAAATCTACATTCACGCTAAGAAAATATCTATGAGAGTACTTTCATAACTATGAGATCCTCTACTTTTTCCTGCGAACCAACAATGAGTTTGCCATAGCACTGTAATGCAGGTAGCTACATAAAGATACAATTTCATTTTGCAACTAACAATGGAATGGGGTGGTTCGATTTTCAATCAGGCCTGTGAGATCCTTGTCTTCAAATATTTTCCGAAAATAAATGCTGTCCTCCCGTGCAAGTGATAAAATATGGAAGCTCCGTATCCGTCGAAATGTCACCTAGAGATACTTGAATGCATGTAGTTTGGGGAAATATATTTGATTCTGAACGGTATACACATTTAACTGACGAAAAAATGCATAGACAAATTTAGCGGTTTCGCTGATTTTGAAATAAAGAAATACATATTTATGAAATAATAACCGAGTTTTTCCCATGTGAACACAAAATACTTTGAAATAAGTGATGGATTATTTTCAGAAATCCATGTACCTTAGCTTAAAAGATACAGCAAATTGAATTAGGGGGGAAACAGCGATTTGGTACATCGCCCCTCTTTGGAGCCCACCACTTTTTTTTCCTCCGAAACTATTGCAGATACAAAGGTAAATAAGCGTCCATATTTCATCACTTGGATGGGAGGACCACGCATATCTTTTTGAAAAAAATCAAAGACTAAAGACCTGACGGGCTCTGCTTGATATCGAGTCGAACGACCCAATGGACTCATCTCTTTACCCATGCATTTGCTTATTAGCTTATTTCCTCCATTTATGCCAGTACGTCACAGAGAGAGGGTTGAGGCGACGTCCTGCTTCACCAACGATTTCCTCTGAATCAAGTGATGCCACATTTGAATACAGACACATTCCCGAAGATTGGGAACCTATGCAAGAAGAAAAGTACAAGTTGGTTACGTTATCTCCCATGTCCCAGGAGTACGAGGACATTGCCCGCCTCTTCGAAAATGCTGAAATGAGGGTCAATAATATAACCCGAATTCAGAATCCATACTTGTGGCAAGTATATCAGGACCGGAGATTCCACTTACTCAAGCATGATTTCAAAGATTACCCCTCCGAATTGAACGAGAAGTTCCTCTTCCACGGGACAGCAGTTAATAATATTCAATCCATATGTGAGAAGAACTTTGACTGGAGGCTGCATGGAACATACACTGGATCTCTTTTCGGCCAGGGAGTATACTTCGGCACCACACCCTCGGCGTCTGTGCCCTATGCACAAGATAATTGCATGCTTGTGGCTAAAGTTCTCATTGGCTTCTCCATTCCTGGGAACTCCAGTATGACCACGCCCCCCTCTGGTTATCATTCCACGAGTGGGCCGGATATGATCATCAAGTATCACGACCAGGACTTCTACCCAGCTTATATCATCAAGTATTGAGCTCTCAGCGCAAGAATTTTATGCATCTTTGGATGGCAGACTCATTTGCATTTGATATCCTATTGAAATATTTCGGATGAAGACCATTGGCCTACGTTATGCCCCGAACTTCCAATATACTGTACGGGGTGATTCAAAATAATGTATGCACACGTTGCATCACCCTGTACCATTAATGGTGAATGTCATGGTGAATGATGATGCACTGCTAGTATAGAATATAACTTATAATTTTGATTATTAAAGGTTACATCACTCATCCTCAACATGCCTGATATTCAGTTGAATTACGAACAGGGGAAGAACATTGTAAAGTGGTGCTACAAGTATGAGAATGTAAAGAAAGGGCAGCATGTCTGGATGTGAGAGTATGGGTCAGCACCTCCCACTTTTGTAACGATTAATCACATACGTGATGAATTCGAAGAACATGGAGCTGTCAAAAATGTGAATAAAACCCAGTTTGAGAAGAAACGGAGACAATAAGTCAAGAAAATGTGGAAACTTTGATATTCGCGTACCAGCGTTTCTCCAAGGAAAGACCGATGCGTCTCGCGATCGTCGCCTTCCCATTAGAGGTAACTAGAAACGTGAGACGACGTCGAAGAAGACAAAGCATGCAGGCCAACCCAAAGACCTTATGGGCCAGCCCAAAGACCTTATGGGCCGCCCAAAGACCTTATGGGCCAGCCCAAAGACCTTATGGGCCAGCCCAAAGACCTTATGGGCCAGCCCTCCCTGCCCCGACTCTCGCCCTCTCCCTCTCGAAGGACACGGACTCCAACTGCGAACGCTACATCTTCGTCAGCCGCTTTCGCCCCCATCCGTGACGGAATTACTGGCCGCTATATCACGGTCCAATATGTTTCATACCGGCTCCGCAATGGGGTAAGCCTCTTACCTTTATCATCACATCTTCATCTCGGGCAGTAAATGCATGGTCAACAAGTGTGGGTTGGTGGGTGTGCGGCAGCTCTACAGGTCAAACGATTCATGATGTTTAATGGAAATTTTTATCCAAGGATCATCCCATCATCCAAGGATGCCCTTTTGCGATCTTAACTTGACAGATCAGCCTCATGAAAAGGAGGGAAGGGAATTTTCATGGAAAATCGTAAATTCGCACTCTCGTCTCGCCATCTTCAAGGCGGACGTAGAGACTAGGTCGTCGTACTCTTCGGGGGATTGTGTTTCCTGCAGGCGAACGCAATGCTTCCTGCTGGGAATCGAGATTTCAAGCTTCCACGATGTAATACAGTACGAGGCGATTCGTCAGTTCGTTGCCAATTGCATTCACAAGGGCTCCGTGGAGAACTTCATCCATGGTGTTTTATCGAGGGGGTCCATGTGTCAAAATGCAGATTATTAGAATTCCAGAATGTGGTGCTATTTCGTCACTGCTTACATTACCTTCGGTCCCTTCAAAGCGCTCTTAAACGATGCAAGAAAGCCCATGAGCACGAGAGTTCTTCGAAGGTTTTTATCGTTTGCCAGTGTCGCAGTCTCATCGGTGCACGACCGAAAGGTAAAAATACGACGCTTAAAATCCCATCACAATCGCAAGGGAACCTTGCGATCATCGCGGCGACTTTCGTCTCCTCGGTCTTCCGAGAGACGGCGAGACGAGAGCGAATCTCCGATTTTCCGCGAACGTTGCATCCCCTCCCTTTCGTGTGGCCGATAAGGAAATTTCATTTCTGAAAGGCACATCTTCGGACGATAAGGAAGAGTTCTGTCGGAACCCCCAGTTCATATATCCAAGCGTTTGGCCGGCAAAGCTGTCACACACACACACACACACTCATAGACAATTGTCGCTTAATCTAGCGGTTAGGATCGCGCAAGCTATATGTTGATCCTCCGGATTACGGTTGCTTCGCAACCGAAGTTCTCCGGTTTGAAAAACCAAATTCAGGCTTACAATAAAGTGCTTTGACCTTTCACCTTGGATAATGGATAATTGCAGCTAAGCCATTTTTAAGTTTTCATTGAAAGTGGCATAACAGAGCATGTGGTTCACAGTTACCAATTAGCATGGTTCCTATTTTAGAAGTCACACTATATTCAGGTGCCGTATTTCATGGCCGAATCGGAGAAGGTCATTGCACATTGAATTCTGAAGGAACGCGAAGACCAACTTTCGATGGCTTTACCCTTTTTTCAATCCCCCCCCGCCAACCCTTCTCTACGAGACGGACTTAATGTTAGGCCTTGGCCTACGCAACGGACTCCCTTCAAGTCACGCAAAGGATTATCTTTTTCTTTCGAATGAAAGTCAATTCTCGACTTACGGAGCTAATTAGGCCTATGAGGGCGAATCCGTGATCTTCGAGATGAGAGGTCGTCCTCTTTTATCTCCTTGAGGACGCGTAACGTTAGGCCAATCGCAGGTCCATTCACACTTTCACGAACCATTTCAGAGAGGACGTGGAAAGTTAGGCCTTTCTGCAGTTCCTCGAACCATCTCGAATGGGTCTGAGGAGGGAATGCCGCCAGTGAGCATGGAATTCAAGATGCGGGCCATCCTCTTAATTCAGGGATGTCCCGATGAGATGAGATCTCGACGAGATGAGATATCTCCATGTCACACCACATCTGTGAATCACTGCGAGGAACAGCTTCATTCTCAGCTAATCTCATGGACTCGGCACGAAAATGTATCATACGTTTAAAAAACAAGATCCAGATGCCAATACGAAGGTCTTTAATCTGGCATAATTTCGGCGCGGTATCCGGCAACACTGCGGCGCGGTATCCGGCAACACTGCGGCGCGGGACCGGAGCGCCTAAGCCTAATTAAACGACGGCTAATTTCACTTTTCTTTAAATGGCGAAATGGTGCATTGCAAACAACAAAACGGCCACTTTTCGTCATCTACGAGTCAATATCTTTCTTAAGGTTGCTCTCTTTCCTCCGAAAACCCCCCCAGGAGTGGCTACCAGGGGGTGGGGAGCAAAAATGAAATTCACAGGTCCAAAAAGCAAGATTCAGTGATCTCCGCAACCACAGGGCTACGGAGCTTCAAATTTGCTGGAACTATTATGTGTTGAGAGAGTAGGACGTATGGCCAATTTTGTTCCTGTTGATGCTCTTAGAGAGGAATACGAAGAGATTGAATTTTGCTACGGGAGGGGGGTCGAAAAAAGGTGATAATGCGTTTCACCAACACCCATTCATCTCTCTCTCCGCATTCAAACCATAGATGAATAGACTTCTCGGATTCTGCATCCGCTCCGATCGTTGAAAGGCCTGCCGCTCGTGCTCAAGGCCCTCCAGAGTGGCTAGGTGCGTGAAGGCACCGAAGGGACTGACCGTCTTTTATCATTCCCATCCTCGCAGTCACACATTGGCTTTTATGGATTGGGTCTGTCTCTGCGTCACGTCGTCCCGATCGGAGTCGGAATCGAGGTTTCTAGGATTCCGGTGCAAGTCCATATCTTTCATTTGTTTAGGCAATCTCCCCGAAATCCCCTACGTATTTTCCACTTGAGGGAAATTCACAACAGCCAAAAAGAGATTTGTTCCCACTCTAGACGGAGCTTCAAATTCGCTGAAGCGGAAATTCATTTGGAAATTTGGAAGTGGAAATTCGGGGAAGTGAAATTCGCTGCGCCCGATTTCGGACCTTCAGACGCTCTCAGAAAGGAACGCGACGAGGTGGAACTTCACGACGGGAAGGGGTTGAAGAAAGGGAACAGGGGTCCAAACACCTATTCGTACCGAATGGATCTCAAGAGCGTCAGTTGCGGGGCACTATTCATACGGGAATCAAAGATGGGAGTATTCGAGTACGTTCGATTTCACTCGGAGGATGCCGACGTCCTATTTATTTATTTATATGCCGCGAGCGGGAGGGAAGAAGGCGATAAGAGACGCTCTGCGAGAGAGGGACTGGCGCAGTGCGTGGTCAGCACGGGCAGGGCACGCGGGGATTCGCCAGACGCTGGAGAGAAAAGAGTCCGTGTTCCAACATCCTTTCAGAGGTGAGGTGGTGGGCCCTTTTTTCCTGCGTGGTCTCGTGCGTCTCGCTCCGCCTCGTCTCCGTTCGGTCGCGCAGTCTAATCGTGGCGGATAATGGTGGCTTCATTCGCGTCCACGTGGTGTTACATATGTGCGCGAGGAATTTCGTGTTCGAGGTCTCTCGAAGGTCGCAATCACTTCGAGGAAATCGATATGTGCAGTGTGAACTCATTGATGGCCAAACGAGGTGAAGTTCATTTTTCCGAAGTCCTAAGCTTCCCTTTCGAGGAAGAGCAAACCAGCAGTTTTCGCGAGGGAATGATGACGAACCCTAAAAATCGACGCATTTCCTAGCAGAAAAGTCCCCTGTGAGAGAAATATCGGTGCAGGTAGGACCTGAAAGCATATGCATCCATCAGTTCTCATGCCAAAATTGATGCATTTCTCTATCGTTGATTTATCACTCGGATATCGAAGGGAAATTGAAGGAAGGTTCTCTATTTCTTGATGTGTCACATTGCAATGTCTGCCGTTTTCTCATCTGGAACCACAAGCCGTTTTGGCATTGCGATCATCACGTCGTCACCTCCGCTGAAGCTCCGCCGGCATAGTAATAGTTACGGAATCCTGGTCCTGTGAGAGTTGTTGACATGGACCACCCGAAAAAAGTCTGGGGCAAGGGGAGGGGAGGGGGGGCAAGGGGAGGGGAGGGGGGGCAAGGGGAGGGGAGGGGGGGGCTCTCGTGAGGGTTAGGACACTGCTACCGATCCGAGACCGTAGACCGGGAGACGCAATATGTTGTGCATATGTCGTACGAGTAACGAGGACGTTCCCACACTTTCGACGAAGGGAGAACTCAGCGCAGGACCGCCGGCACCCGCCTCTACAGTAGAAACTCCAGGGAAAGACGAGGCTGTCCTCACCCTGCAGCCCGTACCATCGACCGGGTGCTTCCGCTCCGGGAACAGTCACCGGATGGCGAGACCTGTTTCCGCCGATATTGATTCCGCCGTATCTCTCGTCGGAAGTCCTTCCCTCTCGTAGAAGCGCCTTCCTTCCAAGGCCGAGTTAGCTCTCTGTACGTTTCGCGTCGTGTTGAGAGTACCGAAAAAGCAATTCGAAAAGGGAAGATCGAAAAAGAGAAAAACTACCGCAGGTAGGTGCCATTCGACCCCTCTTGCCCCGGTAACGTCCATTTCGAGGTCTTCGGTAACGAAGCATCGAAGAAAAAAAGGAGGAAAACTGGGGTCAGACGGAGTGGATTGCGGGAGGAGGAATCCACCTGTCAGCTTCCTGCTTGAAATCGCTTCAAGCTTACATGGAGCTTACTCGGAGGTAGCTGGGCAAGGAGCACAAAATTCTCTTGAAACCCCAAATGTTGAGCCTATAGTATGAATTTAAAATCCCATCTCGTTTATAACGTCTAATAACGATTAAAGAATTCTTTAAAGGAGGGATGTAACGCTCGGGTCTGTGAAGGCCGTCCAAACAGGTGCATGTTTATGTCTAAGAAACAAGGTGAAAAGATCCATTTTTACTACTACGAATTGGGGATTTCTCTGAATGATATGCCTCGAATCCTGCCACGGACACCCACATTAGGCGCGCCTCGGGTTGAGATGAGGATTTTCGACCGTGCGCTCGTTTTACTCGTAAAACGTAACTGCGTTCCACCGACTTCACGACGTGAAGCAAGTGAAAAAGTGCTCTATGGGATATAAAAAGTTCTGGAAAATTTCGGCACCCGCTTCTCATGTCGGCACCACTTCCCCCAGACATGAAAAAAAAAACACTCTCAGATCCTCAAAAACCGACAATCCGCTTCCGATCCTTCAATCGCCTCATTCCCTCTCCTCGATCCCGCAGGCGTTCCCCCGCCATGGACCGCCGGAGGAACTGGAAGCAACCGAGAACCCCCCACGAGACCCTGGGCCTGGGCTCGGACGCCTGCCTGGACCAAGTGAAGACGGCCTACAAGCGGCTCGCGCTCAGATATCATCCCGATAAGAACACCGATAAGTTCGAGTCCACCAAGAAGTTCCGGGAGATCAATTCTGCGTACAAGGAACTGTAAGGACGAGAGCATGCAAAAAGTAATCGGGTGATTAAAAAACGAAGCCAGCAAGCTGAACTGAAAAATTATGGTTCGTTCACATTATTCAATTTTACAGTCCGAAACAGCACCCTTACGAAAAGATCATATAGAATCCCATGATATTTTTTTAACATAAAAATCTCATAGGATTCTTACTGAATTCAATATGAATCTGATAATATTTTTATGTTTAAAAAATCGTATAGGATCCTATAACATTTTCCGTTAGGGCAGTCACCCAATCTTCAAGTTTTCTGCTGCAAAAAAAAATTAAAAATGAAATGAAATTATGAGGGCTTCACAGTCTCACCCATTCATTACACGACTGAAACATGCCGAATTTCCGTAGATGGCAATCGAAGGTTTTTAAGGAGCGAATTTGAAACCTGACAATTGGCAAAGGCAATGGCATCTCCCCCCAAAAATACAGATTGGGGGAAATCACACCGAGTCATAACGTAACACGACCAGGAATATTTGCATTGTCTCAATTTCACTTTCAAGTCGGCATCGCTTTGGTTGCCATCCGCTTTGTCGGTCCAACATTTAAATGGACGCGAAAGCCTTCAGCAGAAATTATTTGAAGTAAACATGCCCTTACTTTTCGTATATATAGTTTCCAACATATATGTTTGATCTTCTCTGAATGTAGACCTTGAACCGTCCGCAATTTTTTAAAAACATAAGGCATGTATTTTAATGTAATTGTTATAGGTTAGTATTTAATTCATCACCAAATAATATTGACTCTGTCACAAAGAAATAATGATTCATCACCAGATTTTAGTATTTGGTCACTCAATGAATTTACATCACCAAATGATTATTACCATTACCAAATTATTATTACCATCACCAAATTATTATTACCATCACCAAATTATTATTACCATCACCAAATTATTATTACCATCACCAAATGATTATTACCATCACCAAATTATTATTACCATCACCAAATGATTATTACCATCACCAGACCTAATGAATCTTACATCAAATTCTCAATAAGTATTTTCACTAGAAGCAATGAAATGGCCACCAAATTTTATTGAGTTAGCACCAAATCATTGTCACATTTCATGTGTCAAAAGAAACAAATTTTTCTTTTAGCGGGCCTGCAGGGCAGAACACACCGACTATCCCTGCTGCGAATTAGCATTCCGAGTGAATGTCTCGATCCAAACAGGGAATGTGCATTCCAAATTTGGAGCTCTCACAACTCAGAGGGAGAGTCTTCTTCTCTTTAAGTTCTCCTAATGCTCCAGTTTTCTGATTAGATGCTCCTGTGCACTTTTCCGAACCTCTTCCCTTGTGGGGTTGCCGTCACTGCAGGCAGTGAAGGCGACTCTCTCTTTGTTTCAATGTCCTCAAACTCTCTAGTTGCCATGGCACCTCTAATACATAGGGCACACAGAAACTGGAAGTCAGCGCCGTACGCAACTCCCACACATGTACGCAAGGAGACTAGTTACACAGGTCCTCCCTCGAAGGTCCTTCAGAGCGTGATGCGATCTTACGATCTCATCCTGACATCGCAGGTCTAACCGGAAATAAAGAAAAATCCTTTCCTTGATAGGGTTGCAAATGCTGAGAATGTCATAAGTTCGACGATGAGATCATTTTTTTCGTGCGGGATAATGCAAATTTGGTGATACCAGCCCCTGTGGTGGTGCAATCATATTTCGTGAAATGAAAAATAAGAATTTGATGACTGATTCCAATTTGGTGAAAATTAATTGTGATCTGGTGATGGAGCCAATATTTTTGCGGGCTGAAAATATTTGGTGACAAGTTCGCTATTATTTTGTTGGTGATTAAATATCTCTCATTGTCATATGCCTCGAAATCCTCAGGCATTTGCACGACAGAAACGTTCGGAGATCGTCTCCGAAGAGCTAACTGCAGAAAGCACTTATGGGAAACTGTAATTAAGTCGATCGATCGAACGAGCGGAAAGAAAGGAGTTCGCGAAATTAGGGAGATATTTATCGGTTTCTCTCCTTGAATGCGCTAGTTTTCCTTAACTTTCTCTTTTGCAAAATGTAAGTCTCGTTTTATACATGCTCGGTACCTTTTAATTTAATTTAATTTCAATGTGGCATTCCGAGAAATAACTCACGGAAGGAATTAGTTAAAGCCTGAGACTTGCTATTAATAGAACAGTTTGCTTTCATTTGAAAGTTATTTGTTACTTTTTTTTCAAAGTTATTTGTGATTTTTTTTTTAATATAAAGTTATTTGCTCTTTAAGATTCATTTCTTATTCCCATTCAAATTGTTGACCCAAACCGCTCTTCGATCGGCTTGAAAATCGGTACCTCTCGGAAGCGAATGGGCGATCGGAAATCGCCAAAACCTTCGGTTGAACCGCATTTGCGATTCGAAAGCGGAAGCCAAGTAATGCGTTTCCAGGAGTAAATATTCGTTGATTGCAAAGCTGGTGCGAAAAATATATTTGGAAGAGCCGACCCAGCCAAAAAGCTCGGCCCTAAGGGTATGCACCGCGAAAGTTGAATTTTTCTGAATTCAACGTCACCATGAGCCAATTTTTGCATGAGCCAAATTTCACCTTTCTGTTTTTGCCCAATTCGCTAGGAGGGGAAAAAAATAATTAAACACGTCACCCTAAAAAAATAAGCCCCAGGGGATGTATCGCAAAAAATACATTTTTCCTCAACTCCTTGGCTCAGTAGTTCCATTCAAAGTTTCATTCAAGATATTTTCGTCCATGCAAAGTTTAATCTTTCTACGTTTCCACGTTTGACTGAAACAGCAACCGAGAACTAGAAGAAGTTCATCGATGACATTTACTCACTCAGAATCGAAGGCTTTACACCATGCCCATGCTTGGCATGTTCTACATAAACCTTTACACAGCGATATATCCGCGCGTGAAAGCCTCACCATCACTGTACCACGTCACCGAAAAAGTACCTCGAAACAAACAATAACTTATTCGCAGCAGGCCTTGTTACCTTATTTATTGAACACCCCTCGTGTATAGATATTTTTGGGAGAATTTTTTTCGACTATGGAAGTAACCGGACTGCGCCGACAGAACGGTCTGCAAAAAAAGTGAAACGGCATCCCCGACCTTTGCCGTGGTTCAACCATTGTGAAAATTAGGAATGTTTTATTTTTCGCATATTCCAAGTTCTAAATTGTTAGTGGTTTCGAGAGACAGGTTACAAGTTACAAGAGAAAGTACTCGACACCACCGGAACGCTGCAACTTTGGCATAGGAATTAAAAATTAAAAAAAAATTGCAGGGAATGAAATGTATGATGGGCAACACATCTCGAAAGACTTCCGGACGAAAAAGCATGAACTCGTGAAACGAACATTAAAAAAAAAAAAATTATAAAATCCCCACTCGACTCCACCCACAAAACACGTAAATCTGCCTTCCACCGATTCTGGCTTTCTCAGCACAAAAAAGCTGCAGAAAGCCGACGCAGCCGAGAAGAAGGTGCTCGGCGAGGCATCGGAGGCCGCCTTCCGTAGATACGACGCCCAGATGAGCAGCCTCGTCGGAGCCGATCTCATCGACGAACGAGACTTGATTGCTGGAGAGAGAAAATACCGTCAGGAAGCCATGAATCTCTTCTCGAGGACGAAGTCACGGTGGCCCCAACTTCTGCAGAAACTCAAGGACGAGTTTGAAAAAGTAGGACCCATAGCATTCGCCATAGTACTTCACAGTACTTCATGATACTTTTGATGATCAGATTCCTTCTTTTCCCCTAAAATGCGGCAGCGCCTGCAAGCCAGGTACGAGGAGTTTCGGAAAGCGAGAGATTCGAGACAAATTGCCGCAGAAAATAATATGAGAGACGCAATAAAATCGGCCGTCGGTCAGTACGACACCCAGATGAATCGCTTGTGCCAAGGGGACTTGATCAGCCACCAGGATCTGGCAAAGAAAGAAGAAGAATATCGCAGGCAGGCGATTGCGGCCTTTGTCAAGCAAGGTTCACAGTGGCCGTTCCTATTGAAGAAATTCGAGGACGAACTGAAACGAGTAAATCGCGCTTTCATCTCTTTTAATTTCTGATTCACGCTGAGACAAGAGACTCATCTTCTCCACTCAGAGCCTGGAAGACCAGCATGAACTCTACCGGAAAAGAAGGAACGAAAAAGAGGCAGAAGCAGAGATGCAGCTGAGAAGAACTCTGGAATCGGCCGTGACTCGATACGACGACCGGATGACCCGATTGGGTCAAGGTCACTTGGTCAGTCTGCAGGAGCTGGCGATGAAGCACGAAGACTACCGGAAGGAGGCACTTGAGACTCTTTTGGAAGTTGGAGTCCATTGCCCACATATTTCCCAGAAGTTCGAGGACGAGCTCGAAAAAGTAGAAATGAGTTTCATCTCAAACGAGTCTATTTCATGATGCGATAGCCTAACGCATGCTTTCTCTCCTCCTCCAGCGGCTACAAGCCCGACACACATTCCATCAGGAAGCGAGGAACGCAAGAGAAACAAGAGGGAAAACTGAGCTAAGACAAGCGCTGGAATCCGCTGCATCTCGACACCGAATCCAGCTGAGGCGATTGTTCGAGGAGGACTTGATCAGCGAGGAGGATATGGAGACGAGGGATGCAGAATATCGCAGGCAGGCGATTGCAACCTTCTTCATCCACGGATCACAGTGGCCGCTCCTATCCGAGAAATTTGAGGACGAATTGGAGAAAGTGCCAATCCTTTAATTTCCTTTTGAGTCTCCTGTTGCATACCCCGCTCGACCGAAAAATTCTTTCCGACTCCTATTTCCGCAGCGTCTCCACGCCGATTATGCGATATTCGCGAAAGAGAGAGACGCAAGAGAGGCAGCAGTGAGGCTGCATCTCAAGTCCGAAATGGAATCATCGATCGATCGATACGACGTCCAGATGACCCTGTTGCGCGACGGGGAATTGATCAGCAAGCAGGAGATGCGAATGAGCGCTGCAAAATACCGCAGACAAGCAGTTGAAATATTTTTGAATCACGGATTAAAGTGGCCGTTTCTTTTAAAAAATTTCGAGGACGAGTTGAACCGAGTATAGTCGAGTTTCATATTTTATTATCCCTTTATTATGAATATATTTTCTCATTATTTACCACCTCTCACAGCGTCTGCAAGCCGTCTACGAAACGTATGAAAAACAACGGAATTCCAGGCAGACGGAAGTGGAAACGCAACTGTGGAAAGAAGTGGCATCGACTGCCGGCCGATACGACGACCAAATGAGCCGCTTGTGCGAAGGGGACCTGATCAGCGAGCAGGAGCTGGTGACAAAAGAAGCAGAATTCCGTTCGTTAGCAATTGCAACCTTCTTTAAGAGCGGATTGCAGTGGCCGTTTCTGCTGAAGAAATTCGCAAACCATCTGAAACTAGTATATTTCCTTTCATCATATATGATTTTCGTGATATGATTTCATGCTTTAATTTTCTCTTTCTCCCCATCCCGTAGCGCCTGAAAATGCGATATGAAATATGCATGAAAAAGAGGGCTGAAAGAAAGCGAGAAGCAACGCTGCTGCTAAGAAATGCCGTAGCATCAGCTGTCATTCAATACGAAAATCAGATGAACCGATTGTGTGAAGGAGACTTGATCACTGAGCTGGAGCTGAGAAGGAGACACGAAAACTATCGAGGAGAAGCACTTAAGGCAATTTTTTCCATCGGAGCCCACTGCCCACAAATTTCCAGGAAATTCGAGAACGAGTTGGAAAAAGTTGAATCATATACTGTTTTTCTCAGATCACTCCTAGCTGATACCCTTAAACTTTTTGCGCCTCGCCGGACTCCCTCTTACAGCGACTACGACTACGCCTTGCAGTCTACGAGGAACAGAGGAACGCAAGAGAAGCAATCGAAAGACATGCGGCAATACAGTTGAAGCACGCCCTGTCGTCAGCAGCCGCCGGATACGACATCCAGATGAGCCGATGGATCGAGGGACCCCTGGTCGACGAGGAGGAGCTGAGAGCGAGGGATGCAGAATGTCGCAGAGGGGCGCTCGCGGTTTTCTCGAAGCAAGCATCGCAGTGGCCGCATCTTTCGAAGAAATTTGAAGATGAGTTGGAAGAGGTAAGTTTTATTTATCCGATATTTTCCAATGATGAAGTGAGAAAACCCAGAGGGGCTGTTTTAACAGCTGTTAGACGTTGTGTAAAACTGAAACGCGGCCGAATATTCAAAATTTTCGGTCTCGGTGTCTTTTTCTATCGCGAGTTATTTCTCATAAGAGAAGAACATATCACACGACTTTCGTTACTTTATCACAATGGCTTCATAGACTGCCGGACCCCTAAAAATAGATCGAACTTCCACACTAACACAATGCATCGAAGAATTTTCTGAATCTCATGAAATCCAGATTTAAAAAAATACGAATGGATCCTTTGAATCCTGCCGCGTGACGACTGGTTGTGTCGGGTGTTTCCCTCCCACCCAGGAATCTCAGAGACAGCTCCTTCGACATGAACATGGAGCGAATAGCGCACCCAAGCGATCTCCGCCAATAAGAAAAGAGGAGGCCGATGTCATTTGCATGCGAATCATTCATGAGATGGCAACTCGAAGGATTCGATGCGATGAAAACACGAGTCACTTCAAGTCATTTTTGCCTGCTGTTGGGATGATGAACTGGTGTTATCACGATCGTGTTATGATATTTTCGAGGAATCGCTGTACTTATCGAGAAATGCTGATGGCGCATTTGTAAAATATCTAATCATGAGTTGCATTTATCAGCATACCTGGAATTCCTGTCTAGGAAGCTGAATCCGGCCATCAAACATCTAAGATGATTGGAAAAGGTGAGAGGATACTGTAGTGCTAGGGCCAGGATGGCACTTTGCCTAGCACCGTGGGTTAAAATGAAAGACCAGTTGGGAGCTCCATAATTAATCTATTGGCTTGATATTTGAAAAAACTAATAAAATATATGAAAATAAATAAATAAATAAATAAATAAATAGGTGAAAGACACAGAACAATGATTCAGGCAATAGCTCAGGCCATAGGCCGGAATGCAACAAAAGTGTAAATGTTTAGCAGGCGCTAGGCCATGTAAAAACACTGGATAAACAGACCAGCCAGACTTGAGGAAAACCAGCAAG